TTCTGTCAGTCTCCTCTTGGCAGAAGCCCTGTGTCTCAGACAGGTGAGCATCTGGAAAAACACATCACATCTGGCTCTTGATCATTCTTTTGGGATCTATTGCTCAGATTGTCATGCTAAACTTTTGCAATACTGATCAAAGACAGCTTCTTTTCAGAGAATCCCTGAAAGTCTTCAAGGCTAAGTTGGATGGGGCTTGGAGCAACCTGGTGTAGTGAAAGGTGTGCCTTCCCATGGCAGGGGAGTGGATTGAGATGGTCTTCAAGTCCTTTCCAACCCAAACCATTCTGTGATTCTCTGATTCTTTCCTAGACTGCCTATGAGATAATACACAAAGGGCAGACATGGTTAAGAAACATTCTGTTCCTTTGTCTGCTTTTTACTGCCTCTACCTTGAGAATGTGAGATCTTCACTGCAGTTACTCCATATTTTACATGAGGCAGAGGAAAGGAAACAATTGCTCCATAAAGAGAAGAAAATTGTGTTTGCCAGGAAAACACCACTGGCATTTTTTCTTTCTTTCATCTCTATCTTCTCCAACACATTACTCTAAAATAAACCAAACAAAAAGACATTCCCCATCCCCCCACCAGCTTCCCAAAATAAGTAAACAAAACCTCTCAAACAAACAAATAAGAAAAAACAAAAGAAAACCACAAGCAAACTTAAATTTCCCTTAAATAAAAGGATTGAGGAAATTTGAGAGATCCAACTGTGTGACTGATGGACAGAACCAATGAGATCAAAATGGTTAATTATGTAGGATAATAAAACTTTATTTCTGTTACATCCTGATAAGCAGCATAATGACTGCCTTGGCCAAATGCAACTGGCTTTAATTCTCAGTTCCTTTCTCTGTAGAGTCTATTCCAACTCCGCTGTCACCTGCTGCCAGCCAAGTCAGCCCATTGCTCTGTGGAAGCTTGGAAGAAGAGTCTCCCTTCCCTTCCTTTGCCCAGGTAAACCATGTAGCAGAGTCAATCTTGTCAGAATTACCTGTGTCATAGTTGGGGATTAGGCTGAAACTACAATTGCTTCCCTTACAAAAACAATGTGGGATAAATCTTAGGGAGACATCATAAGGTTTGTGTGCTTGAAGGGGTTTCTAGATTTTCTTGCCACTTAGGAGGTCTGCAGGATTGTTCAAGTATGTGGAATTTAATCATATCCTACACCTTTTTTGGCAGATGTTGAGAGTTGGAAAGGCAAAACCAGAAACGTGGCCTAAACCTGCTCCAAAGACAAGAGGTAAGAAAATTTGGTATTAGTACTTCAGGTTCTTTACCATGCATCTAAATGTGAGAAGTCTTGCAGCTTCAAAAGAAGGATCTGGAGTGTGGAGAGGCATTTGTGTGGTGAAAGTTTTATACAGCCATGTGCACGTCCTTCCCTCTTTCAGATGAGAACACTCTGGCACTCCCTGTGCCCGGAGATAGTGATGGAGAAAGTGACAGCTCTGACCGGATTCCTGTGCCCAGCTTCCAGAATTCCTTCAGCCAAGCTATTGAGGCAGCCCTCCTGAAACTGGACAAACCGTCCACAGCTGATCATTTATCAGGTAAAAGGCAGAAGGAAAGGCAGAAAAACTTCCTGAAGTGAAAAAAATTGAGTATTTCCCCTTCTTTCTCTGGGACAAGTGAAATCAGCAATTTTGGGGATCAAAAATTGGCCAGAGAACAGTTCTGAAAATTGTCAGGTTGTGGTTTCTGAGCAGCTTGGCTGGGGCTTCTGTCAGCTTAAAGCAGCCTCTTAGTGGGAACTGAGATTTCCAACTAGCAAAGAATCCTGTTAGGACAAAGATGGCTTTTGATAATTGTGTTGGCCATGTCTCTACTGGAACCTACATTAAGCTTTATCTTAAGGAAGTTTCGGTTATAGATTTCTAAGCTAAAAATACCTGAGCTGCTGAACTACCACTTCAGTTTGACCAAAATGTCAAGGTAACTGCTAGCTGAAATTTCAAGTTAGGGAATGTGAAACTAATTGAGGCGAACTTTAACCTGGTGCTGGTTGGTGAAACTTATTTTTAATGCTCAGTTCTGATGTTTAGCTTTGGTTTCTGCTTGGAGACTGCACTGGATGATGGAGAGAGCTGGATGGGAGGGCTTGGGAGTTTCAGTGGAGTGTCTGCTCCAGTTGTGTTTTTGGACATACATGAAAGTGATACTTGTAAGAAAGGCAGACTACTGGATGCTGCAGTCCTAGGATCTGCTGTTGCAACAGCAACTTTACAATCATTTAGGCATGTTTATAATTGTATTTCAGGTGTGATGGAGTCTCCCTTAGTTCATCTGTAATAAGTTTTTGTTAAACTACCTAGTTTTCAGTGAATTGATAGGAAATGTTGTGGATCTGTAGAAGCCAGTTAAGCCAGGGAAGATCATTTATCATTTGTGTGTGATGTTCCTGTTCCATGACAAGAATGACAGTATCATTTTAATTCTTCACAGAGGAAAAGGGAGGCAAGAAAAGAAAGAAACAGAAGCAGAAGCTATTGTTCAGCACCTCTGTTGTTCACACAAAGTGATTCTGCTTTCAAGAGAAGTTTCCTCTCCTGGTTTTCTTTTAATTTTGCTTTGTTTTGCTGCTATAGTTTAAGTATTTAAATTTGAACAGCCTAAACTTGTGTTTCCAGGACTTCTAGGGCTTCAGGAGGAAACCATGACAGTGTATGTTGAAGTAACATGTTTTGATTCCAACTGCTTAATGATTTCATACTGAAACAGAGTTTTGGAAGTAACAACCCAGAGACAAAGCTGCCAAAAGCTGAGTCAGTCCTTTGGGCGTGATAAGCAGTGTGAAAGTCCTTACAGCTGTGTGGCACTGCCAAAGTACTGCAATGTTACCCAAGAGAAAAAGGCAGAGAGCTTTTATTTTCCTGTAATTATTCATGGGCAGAAGTCCATTTGACTGACAGCAGTGCTGTTGCAGTAAAGCTGTCAAACTGCTCTCTTGAGAAACTGGTTTTGGCTGCACTGGAAACAGGCAAAAGAGCTTACTGGCTTTAGAGTGTTAGCTGCTCTATCTGTTCTTTTTCTGAAGAGCAAGAATTCCTCCTGTTCTCCTGGCTTGGAAAGATACAAAGCTGAGGTGAGTGTAAAGCAGAACTTGGCTACTTGGTTTTAAAGTGGCTTGATGATTTGTGTATTTCAAAATGGCACTAGTGTTAGAAGGAACCTCCTGACTTCTCAGTTGTTCAGGTCTGTTTTAATGTGGGTGAGTGAGGCTGCTACTTTTTGGGGTTTTTTTGCCACCCATGGGCTACACATTCTTTTTAACCTGATCATTTAGAAAAACCACTCCCCTCTAGGGCTTCTGGTAACCATCTGAATGATGGTTTGACACTGGCTGCTGTTGAGCTGGAAGAACATCTGGTAGCTGAAGTCTGTAGATAACCTTGACATCCCAGCAAGAAACTGGGGTTCTCTTGTACTGAGATAAGGGCCTGTGTCTGCTTGGTTCTGGGATTTAAGTTGATCTGTGCTACAAACATGTCTCCTCTTGACCCCTCCCTGCTCTTTTCTTTGAGTGGTCACATTCTGCACTGCTTGTTGTTTGATTTGAGCTAATGAGTTAAGTGGCGTGGATTTTGTTGAATAAAATGAATTTTAGGTGTAACGTACCAGTCAAGGCCAACAGTTGCAATAAATCATACGCACACGCACTTACAGTACTGCATCCTTCCTCAGCAAAGTACCACTGAACTTAGGGAGGGAGACTGACAGTATCTTCTGTTGTCTTCAGCCCCAGTGGCGCAGGCTTCACTGTGCTCTGTCCCTCTGACACTGATCTGAGCGAGGAAGTGTGTGTCTGAGGCACCTGGAGTTAGGTATTCCAACAGCACTGGCACTCCGTGCTTGTGTCCCTGTTTAAAAAGCTGATGTCAGTACATGGATGCTTGATTTCAGAGCAACAGGCTCCACATGTGTGCCTCATGGGAAGCTGGTACCAAAGAGTCCATCACATGTGGCTGTAAACCAGAAAGGAGAAGGGGGGAGGTAAAGAATACTTCCAACTGCTACAGGAGGATAGAGGAAACACCTGCAGAACATTCTTTGAAAGCAGTTTGACTTCACGCTTGGTCACAACTAACCCCACTCAATGGAAGACAGTACAGCTTGTCAGGGACTGCAAAGAAACTATGACAAGATGCTTGAAAGTGGTGACATGTCTTGCTGTCAATACTTTAAATGCATATGGGAAAACAATTGGTGAGGACAGAGAAAAGCAACTAAGAGATTCAAATATACAGTGAACTGTGTTTACAGCAAGTCATTTTAAGCTATGGAACAGGAGTAACTACTTTAAGTGTCTAACCAGTATCTGTTGTGTTCTGTTATCTCTGCACATTTATAGTCAAATTTTCTTTGCATTGGGAAGAGAGAATTGTTGGAGCTGGTGTAACTCACCTCCACATGTCACAGGCATTAGGATAAGGGAAGTGGACGTGGGCTAGGCAGGCTGTCCCTGCTGCAGGGGCAGTCCCCACAGGGACAGCATCTTCAATTGTATCTTGTTTTCCTATGGATTCGAGATAATACCAGCAATGCTACTTTCCTGTAACTGATTGGTGTAAACTTAATAAATATCTAAGCAGTACTTGTACCTATGAGTTTTATAATGGGGGGAGGGGGGGGGGAATGGAGTTGAGCCTTGCAGCTCTGCCATACATTCCATGTACTCTCTGCTCCTGTGTACACAACTGGTGCTTTTCTCACTCAAAACAGTGGATAGCCACAGGGCTAACAGTGCACTTAAAGATAAGGTAAAAAGCAGATGTTAATGCTTTTTGTATGCTGAAGGAGAATAACTACATTCCTTGTCTGTGCCAACTGCCTAAAGCTCCCTTCTACCTCAGCATGAAGAACACATTGAGCTGCTACACTCCTCAGGAGTGGTTTTGACTCCTGAAGTGAAATAGGCAAGTCGCCTACTTAAGTGAAATAATGTTTTATTTTTATGAAGTCTAAATATGAACAAATGCTTTTCCTGGCCCCTGCACTGCTGAACACTGAAGATAACCATCTTTAATCACATCTTGATTAAACGAGTATGGAATGGAGGTGAACAGTAACAAGTGACGTTCAGTCTGTCTCTGTGCCATCATCTTCCTCCTCATCTCCACTTTGAGACTGCTCTTCTGTAAGGGAACAGCTCAACAAGGACTTCTGTATACATTGTCTTTCTTCTGCAATAAAGAGAGCAATAGAGGGTTATTACTTGATCTCTTCACATACACTGGACTATCTTCCACTTCTAAAGACAAACATTTCTCAGGCCAAGAATTCAGAAGTAGCCCAGCATATCCTACAAAACCGCTAGGAATTAAGGCTACGTTTTAGGAAAGTGGCTGGAGAAACTCACCTTCATTTGTACAGTTTTGCAACAACCTCAGCAGCTGTGTTCTGTTATACTGAATCAGAAATTTCTGACACGTTCTTATGGTACCTGCAGAAGTCACAAGAACACCATGTAACAATCTACACAGCAAACGTTTCAAAGCTGTTGCTGTATTTCCCAAAGAGCATTGTCTGAAGTGACAAATGCCCTGGTAAACAAGGTTATTAATGCAAATGCAACAAAGGAGGCTGTAGACTGCATTTCTGCACTGCTGAAGTGGTGGAGTAATGATTTCTAACGTGCAGTGCCTGTTAGTTCCCCTGGGTGTTAATTTTCACAATACAGAAGATACTATACTTTGAAAAGATACTTTAAAATAATGTAACATTGTATTTGCTGCTTTGGTTTTGTGATAAATGTAATGAAGCTTCAAGCAAAATTAACGAGGGTTTCAAAAAAGAACTTCTGGTGCCTGTTTCTTATTTAGATCTGTTGAAAGCAATTGCTGTTAGTAACACACAAGGAATGTCTATCGCACGCAGAGCAGCACCACGGGGTCGTGGCAGGCAGGATTAAAGCTCCGTCCTCCCCCCAGGCCCGGGGGGCTCCTGACCTCCGACGTGCAGGGTGTTGAGGAAGCAGGGGTAGCGCTGGGCGCGGCTCTCCAGGTAGCGCACGAAGGGCAGCGCGGAGCAGAGCAGCCGGTACGAGTCCTTGCGGCACCGCAGCAGCACCGTCCCGGTGTAGGCGTTCAGGTACTTCACTGCGGGGGACACACGCACGGGTGAGCGGACGCGGAGGGACCCCGCACCCCCGGGGCCGCCCGTCTCGCCCGCACCTGTGAAGGAGATGGAGCAGCACGCCAGGCCGTAGTCCCCGTGCACCCGTGCGATGGCGTCTCTGACGGCGAGGCCCAGCGCGCGGTCCTCGATGCACTGCCGGCACCGCGGGTCCTCCGAGACCACCTCGCAGAGCACGTACCTGCGGGACAGAGCGGCGTGAGCGGCGCGGGACCAGCCCGGGCACCGCAGCGGCGCCTCCCGCTCGCCTCACCTGTTCTTGAACCGCACCATGGC